GAGTATTTAGTAGCCTATGAAGCTGTTTTTATAGGTGTGTAGCTACCCAGTGGTATCAGTCTGAATGTGACAGGCTCAGGACTCCTTTAAAAATTGTGTGCCTGGCATAAAATGGTTGTCTGGGATGCTTCATGTTCAAAGGGATCTCAATATCCACAATGAGGCAATGAATGTGGTGTATGAGGTGCTGGAAGCTTCCATCCTCATTGACTCTAAAGAAAAATTAGCTGAATGGCTGTCTGGCCCTGGATCCTGAAACAGGTCAGGTAGATGACACTGATGGAGGTATGTGATGTGTTTATAAGTCTGAAAAATGGGATCTAGGCTTCTATCTATTGCATTTATGAATGTATATTCTTTGCTTGAAATGACAACTACTCATCACCAAACGATAAGGAATTAGTAATATTCTTTTTGCTATTTTCTTTACCTAACATTCTCTTAAGCTAATGAAATATTCTCACTATCCCCTCTTTGGATTTACTTGATTTGGACAAAGTTATAAGAAAAAAAGGAATACATGAAGAGCAATGCTAAAAATAGAAAACAACTTTCACCTAACTCTTCTCATAGATTTAAACACAGACATATTTTACTCATTCACAGACATATTAGTAGGCACATCTTTCATCTATAGTCCTTTGAAGTTCACTGCTAAAGAGAATATGTTACATGCAGATGTTTCATTCTGATTCCTGATGTTTAATCAATCCTCATTGTCTTTGGAGAGATAGTTCTGATTTTTTTTTTTTTTTCCACAGAAAATGTCATTACAATGATTATTCCAGACTGGGTTGAAAAATTAAGGATGGGAGAAAATTATATAGTTGCATTTAGTATAAACTTTGATATTTCAAGAGCTGGAGAGTCTGTAAAGGATTTGAAAGCTAGTTGAATAAGCCTCTGGTTGAGCTAGTTCCAGCCCTGAATTTCTGAATTCCATCTTCTCCCTATTATCTTTGCAGAATATTCACCTTGCTTTTGGCGTTGTGTTTACCTGATTGTTCCAGGCAAAATAAGATTACTGACCTCATCACTTGAAGTTTTGTTTTATTCTCAGTAGAAAGCAGTTAGATGAAACTCATATAAAGGATTGGCAATGAAGTTGGCACTGGGGGAATTTTATTTTTCATTTGTTTTTTATTTTCATTTTATTTCTTTGGTGAAACAGTTTTTACTAAGTTATGGGATATAAGTGAAAATTGAAAGCTAGGTGAAACAGTGATGAAACAATGTAGCTATTCGCTCAGAAAGAGGAGAGGGAAAATGGGCAGTTATTTGCCTTACAATAATCTGCTGTTGAAACTGTGTCTTAAAGGAAAAGTACTGATTATTTTTTAAATACATCAGGCTTTTGCTTTTAGAGTTGAGACAGTTTACGTATTGTCTATGAAACAAGACTTATATGTACAGAATAAAATGATTACTAGAATGAACTGTGGAATAAAGAGTTGGAACAATTAGAGTAGAACAGTGCTGCTTTATTCTCTTCTCATAATTACTACTGAGCTACTTGCTGATATACAAGCATACCTAAAAATATAGTTTATTTGGAAATATTACCATAGTAAATCAAATCCAGATTTCCTGTTTCGGTAAGTATCCTGATTGGCTGGTTCAGAAAGATGGATGAGGAAGTGAAATCAACTGCATGATCATCTTTATCCATGCAGTTGCCTCCACATACAAATTAGCCCAGAATTGCCTTAGATGCCCCATAATATCCATGTTAGAATATTAAATGAGTTATTCTCAGCAGTATCTATGAGATACCCAAGCCCATACTTTAATCCAAATTTGCTTCACATAGACACAGCATGGCAACGAGTTCAAGTTCAGATACAGGCATCAGGACTGAAAAAAAAAAAAAACAACAAAACTGTGCATCCTAATTTTTTGTACAGAGTCAAAAAGCAGCTTCCTGAAGTTTTCTATCACTTCATCAATCTGTTCTCACAGCAGCATCTGTCCTTGATGATGATAGAGAAATCAGTCAGAAGATTCTGCTAGGGGAGCCCAAATATCACAGGAGGGATTTGCTGCCATCTCAGGCTGCCTTTGGCTGTCTAGGCAGGAACCTCATGTGATGACATCATATGGCCAGCTAATGAGAGAGGTAGAAATTAATGTTGATTCCATGGCATCACCATTTAGTATAACAGTATGACTTAAAATCTTATTAATAAGCCATATGAAGCTACTGAAGTGTCCTGGGTTTAGCAGTAGCAGTCATTTTTTCTCCTTCTTGGTAGCTGGTGCAGTGCTGTGTTTTGACTTTCGGGCTGGGAACAAAGATGATAAAAATGATGTTTTGGTTTGGCCAAGGACTTTGTGAGCCTCATGCTCTGCCAGGGAGGAGGGGAAGCCGGGAGGAAGCAGAGACAGGACACCTGACCCAAACTGACCAAAGAGGTATTCCATACCACAGCACATCATGCCCAGGAGGGAACTGGGAGAACTGCCCGGAAGGGCTAGAGGTGGACTGCAGGGTTGGAGGAGGTATCGGTGGGTGCTTGATCGGGCTGGGGGGTAAGTTATCGGTCACCTGGTGATGGGGTGTTGTATTCTCTTCCCTTGTTATTTCCTTTATCATTACTATTATTGGTGGTAGCAGTAGTGATTTGTGTTATACCTTAGTTACACTAAACTGTTCTTATCTCAACCCGTGGGAGTTACATTCTTTTTGATTCTCCTCTCCGTCCCTCCAAGAGTAGGGGGAGGGCAAGAAGAGGGGGGGAAGTGGGTGAACAAGCTGTCTGGCATTGGTTATACCATGACATGAAGTCAGCCAGAACTGTCAGGGTTAAATAACATTAATAAGTGAAATGCTAATAGCTGCCTCTTCAGGAAATGCTTCATTTGCTATGTTTCATCAGTAAGACTCTGTAAAGTTTGCATAGATTCCTATCCTGTGTTTCCCTGTTTTTCAGACATCTGCACCAACACCATAAAGCCAGCTTGTGAAGCTGATGGCAACTAAAAGGGAGGGAGAATTATTCAGCTGTAATTATATGCAAACATCTGCAGTGTTACTGGCCACATCACAAAGGCATATGAATCTTTAGACTTAGAGGCTTTTATGACTGTTCAAAATTGTAATTGTTCAAGCCTCTTGGTATTTTTTCTTGTACTTAAATACAAGCTTCCACCTTTAGCATTGGCACTCTGACCTCAACCTTGCTTCCTGCTGCTTTATTTTAATTTTCATGAATGAATTTTATTTCCGCAAATATTATAAACTGAATTTTGCTGAATGCATTTGAATTAGATTTCAAGTGTTTATGAGTTAAAGTCAGGAAAATTATTTTACTAATTAGTAGTCCTTTTTTTTTTTTTCCTGAGAAATGTCACATAAATGGGCAGGGACAGTTTTGGTAAATATCAGGCGAGTGTTCCTGATTCGGGAAAGGATAAAAGTCTACTTACAATGCATTTGAATAAAAAGTATGTAAAAGAAAAAGTAGTTTATTTTCAGATTATTTTTCCACAAAATTGTGGATTACTAAAGTACAATGAATAATTATCTCTTCCATGATGTAAAACTTGTCATTAACACAGATGTCATTCAATGTGCTGAAAGTGGTTACCAGGGGTGCAAGTCGGACAGTGGTATTGGAGGGTTCAATGACTTTGGAGTGGCAACTGAAGCCAGGTCAGAGTAAAGAAGTGATGTGCAATTTGATTACAGGTAATCATAGAAAGAGAAAAGACCATGGGTACAAATACATTCCTGGGTAAGCCCACTGTGTTAATCTTACAACTTGATGCTATTTCTGTGTAAATTAGTCTCTTAACAGAAAAATTAATCTTGGCTTTTGTACGTTTACCACACCAAAGGATCTGGTACATACAAATGCTTACTTGTGTCCTGCAGCATCACAACTGTGACCAGGGCTATGTCATTTCTTAGGTTTTAGTACCAACTGCACCTGTGAAAGATAAAAAATGCCCATACAGTTCATGATGAATAGCATGAAGCCAGTTTGAAATCACTGCCAGCTTCTGTAGGTAGCATTGTGATGCTGTGTTTCTCTTCAGAGCAGAACAAAAGATAAATTCACTACACCATATCGTCATTAGTGCACAGCTATTTCTATATATATATATGTATATATTTTCTCTTTTAGGGACCAGGCACAGTGAAATCCTCATTCAATGCCCCAAAGCAAATGCTTAACATTTAGCAATGCTAGCACTGTTGAAGTTACTACAGCTTCTCATCCCACCATACTTGTTTATTTAGCAGCTTTTATATGTCACTGGCAAAAGGTCACTGTGTTACCCAGCAGACCATGGTTAAAAAGCTTAGCAATAAAAACAAAACCAAGACCAGAAGTCTCAGTATCCCAATTCTGGTTTTGGCGAGCTCTTCAGAGGTACTGTTCTCTCTTAACACAGACGGTTTTGGGAGTGCCTGTTGTCAGCCTTGGGAGCCTAACCACTTGGTCAGCCAATGGACGAAAAGCTTCTAGCCCATCAAATGGCTAAACTGTACCACGAGACAATTACAGGGATTTTCCTCCTCCTGTTCTGATCAATCAGATTTCTCACTGATAGATTCCTGTGATAGCCTGTAACAGGAAGATAAAAATATTAGATTTTTTTTTGCTAGAAATAAGTTATATATTAAAAAATAAAATGGGGAGAGGCAAAAAATACCAGAGAGGAAGATCAGTAACTGACATACTGTGACAGTTAAAGTTCCTAAGAGTTAGGAAAAAAAACAACGGTTAATTAGGTGGAAAAGGAGGAGTAAAGTTCCAGTGTTACCCACTTAATTGATTTCTACCAGTCCTCCAGGAGGTTTAGAGATTAAGTATTAAAGTCAGGGGAGAAGAAAAAAGATACCTATAAGCAACTTCATCTAGACAGTTTTGACCTGCACATGGACAACCCCCCCCCAAACAATGGTAAGGTGGCGTCAGTCTTTTAAGAAAATAAATAAATAGATACCTTTTGAAAATGAAAAGCTTAATTCAAGTATGTATTTCTCCTTTAACAGTTCTGTGAATGACATTTCAGGGACTGACTCTGCTCCTCTACTGCTCACCTGGAACATCAGGAATGGAACAATGATAGTGTACAGCTACTCTCAATGCAAGGAAAACAAATACTTGTTGTAAGTATGTCCAGTTCTTAATGTCAATTATACTTTAATTGCTGATCACTGTCTGACACCTTAAATAGTACCAACATTACAATTAATATCCAGTATAAAATTATTGGATAATAACTTTATACTAATTGGGATGAAAAATATCAGTTATTGATATTTTCATCCCAATTAGTGTGTCAAAGTTACATAAAAGTTATATAAAAAAGGGATGAAAAATATCAAAGTTAGGGTCATAGTGCTATATTTTTACGGTTTTTCATTATCAGCTTTGTAATTTAGCATCCATTATTTATGTAATAAACGAAACTCTCAAAAATGAGCAATGTAGAAATGTGCAATACCCTTAAAATCATGAGTTTTCTGCATTAGCTGACTTTTCAGCAGTTTGACATTACCTGAACATTCAGTTGAACTGACCAAGCAATTCATTAATTACAGCATTATGCCTAGTACAAAGGAAAGCATATTTCCAGAATTCAATTTCCTGCAAAGGAGGGCATTTGCCAAGTTTGAGATATGCTAATACCTGTGTTTAAATTATTTGCAAATGGTTTTAGGACCATTAATAACACTGCACTTCATCCACATGCAGATCACCCTCTAGAAAAAAAATGCCATCTGCTCCTTTCAAAAGTATTGTAATAGCATTTATATGTGGCCCTAAGGAGGTCCTTCCGTAAGATTAAAATCTTAGCTTTGTCACAAATTGGATTAATTTTTGTTTCTATTTCCAGATCTCATAACTGTAAGTAAAATGTTTTTGTGTCAGTTACTTATCATCCTTCTCACAATTTCATTTGACAGCATTTCAGGAGGTGGTCTAAATTAGAGCAAAGTGACCTTTTGTCAGATTATTGTCCAGTGTGGTGTACAGAATACTGCAATACATTCAGGATGCAGAGAAATCCTAAGTTTTGGTGCATATCTGTGGCATGTTTGGTAAGGAACTGTAATCAACTAATTATAAACAGCTGAGAACTTTACAGCAGCTATGGCATTTGCATGTAGGACGGAATAATTACAGCTATGTTCCTGTCCTGACCTCGATATTCCCAGATGGAAATGTTCTACTGGGAACCAAGCCCCTTTCTTTTCCCTTTCCCCTTTAATTCCCCTTTCTTTTTCCTTCCCCTTCCTCCCCATTCAGTCTTATTTGTGCCATGTTTATATAGCACTTGTTGTTCTGTTTGTTAGGTTTTTTTTTCTATAAGCATCATGTAATACATCAATATAAAAGATAGGAAAAAACAGTGTTTGTTGACTCCTGGCACACTACCCAGTGTTCATCCAGAATTTTAATATACTGGTACTCATATACAACCATAACATTTCTTCTGTTACTCCCTACTTGTGAGTGTAAAGGCTGAGATACTGCAGAAGAACAGACAAAAATTCACCTGCAAAGATCCCCCAAACCCATGACAAACCTGAAAACCCTGGTAAGGAAAATTAGATCTCTGCTTTTATCTGGTTTTCATCCAATCATGCAATTCCATATGGCAGTGGTACAAACTGCTTTGAGAACTTCTGGAATTGGTTTTTCACTACATTAACGAAGATTGTTGTGTTGCTTTATAAACAAAAAATCTTCACAATGTATAGTCTGCACTTCATACTTTCATATTTACTACAATATCCCAGTGACTCTTGAAAAAAACAGGAAAAGTTACTGATTCAGTATATGATAAAACTTCTCAGTACATTTCAACAATATTTTGGCCTCATTTATGCACACAAATTGATTATTATCTTCAAATAATAACAAGCCTTTTCTTAAGAAGAATACTCCTTAATGACCCTAAGAAATCAGTTAGGCTGCGTGCCAGCTTGTGCTTAGTCTCAGCTTGATAATCTAGTTTTAAATAATAGGATTACATGAAAACTGAGACAAAGTTTGTTTCATCATACATTTCATATGTTCATAGCATTATGAATTAATAACAATTGGCCCCTTTATTTTTCTTAATATGTCTTTAAGTATCAATTTTATAGCCAGTTCTTGAAATAGCATATATATTTCTGCCATCAACATAATGATGTTATAATTAATTTGGGATTTTATTTGCAGGAAATATACCAGAAACCTGGCATGAAAGTTCGTGTTTTGACAAATGTACTGCAAGAGTAATGCCCCTCCAGCCAGAATTTTAAACTCAAAATTTCTTCTGAACATTAGTCCATCACTTTGCACGTGTTATGGTAAAGCAGGATGTGTTAGCGTTTTTTGGTAGTTTATATTAATGAGTTTTTCAAAGACCTGAAAACTGTAACTTTGTTCTTTACCAAAGATTCACCTGAACAATCTTACCACCTCAGTCCTGCTTGGCCTTATTGATGTTTGTATCCAAAGAGCACGTCCCTACTCCATACAGAGGAGAACAGGCACAGCTGGAGTGACAATGAACATTGTCTTCATGGTGCAGACCTCATCACTTTGTTGATACAGCCTAAAGAAAAATCCAACAAAATGCCAACAGTTTACAGTTGTTCCCAGAAGTAACTGAGTGGAAATCTGCATTAACTGTAACAGTTCACATAACTGATATATGAGTATGGCAGATATAAATGGAGAATATCCAAGTATTGGACCTAAGAACTGACACAAAGCTGGTAAACATTTTAAAAAGCTTTTGCATTTTTGGCATATCTGCAAACAGACCTTGAGATACTTACAACACATTACTCTTAAGTATCTGGGTGTCAACAAACAGTGGATGTCTTGATAGGTCTGGCAAGAAAGACATGGGATTTTCAGTTATTAATTTTGTATCAAGATGTCTATGCCCATCTTACATACTTACATGCATTATATGTCTGTCTATCTACCTATCTAGCTAATAAACCAACTAGGTTTTCACAGATCTAAGCATCCACTTGTGAATATTTCTAGTCTTTTGGGCTTCATACAAATAAAAGATGCTTAGCATCTTGTGGAATGGAGCTCCACACTGTACATGAAATCTGCTAATGTAAAAAAATTCATAGAAGGTCGCTACTTACAAGATTTTTTAAAAGCACTTGGCAATCCTAATTAAAATAATGTTTGCAACAAGATGGTGGTTACTGAATAGTTATGGTTGGCTGATCCTCCGTATTAGCGCTGGACAAGTGTCTCTGTAATCAGGCTCATAACGAGTTTAACTGTTAAAATTTTCTTCTAAGTGTTTTGGTCTGTCTTGGTGTTATGTACGGTTGGGGGGGGGTGGGGGTTCAGCCCATGCTTTTTTTTTGGCCCTATGGCATATCTGACTGGCTTTCTTTTTCCCATTAACCTTTCAACAATACCAATAAATGCAGTTCTGTGCCTCTCCTATTCTTTTGACCCTTAAACACTGCAGCCTTACAAAGCAGAATTACGATGTGCTTCCAAGGAACCTGGCTCTTCCTGAAGCAAGACATGAGGGCAGTCACAGCTGTTGTCTGGCCGAGCCCTTTACAAGGTTCAGATGGTAAATATTTAATTACTGCTCTTTGTTGTCTTTCTTTCTGCCTTTAACAGTATTTCAAAAAGTGATATTGTCATTCCAGCAGTAGGCTGTGACTAGGCTGTATCATCTTTCCCTTTTTTATCTTTTTGCTTCCTTTTCAATTTGAGGATATTGGCTGCTGCTCATTAAAAGGTCGTTACCAAATCTTTTTGCTTTAGCTTTCACAAATTCCCCTTCCCTGTAAAGGTATCAGATTTATTTTGTCTTTTTTTTATAACTAGTAACAAAGTTTACTAATAAGCATAGTTGGTTTTCTTGTTTGGTTAGAAACAGTTTTTTATTATACTTTATGGCATTACACAAAGGGACACTATGTTCTACTACTTGGTCAAATGAAATAAAACCTCTTTCCTGAAAGATGAGCTATACAACTTTAACAGTAAGGACAACTCCTATGAAAAGTTTAGGAACTGGGAAATGTGGGTGGGACTTAGGGAATTAGGTCTATGTGCAAAATGTAGGCCACGCGGGCACTTAACAATTACCAAAGTCCTCCTGGGGACCTCATTTTCTTTGCCATGAGTTAAATGCTGCTGCTGAAGGGCTGGCAGGATGTAGAAAAATGAAGAGAGAAAATCTACATAATCCAAAGGAAGCATACACAACAAATACTGGCCCCTAAATAAGAAGTTTCTTCAGCAGCTTGTTACAAGGTTGATGACTCACACAAACCCTCAACTATGTGCTCTGGAAATGCCCTAAGCCAGGATACCCCTCATGATGACCAGCATGCTTCAACAATAATCCGTCTTGTTCTTCATCCTTAATTCATATTGTCCCCTGTTGCACTATTTCTGCTCTTTTCCTTTCCAGTTCACATGAGCAATAAGCTATCTAGCGTAACAATGCAGCAGATGAAGCAGTGCCCTGTGGGGAAAAAAAGAACCTTATTTGCTATTGGTCTGTGTACTTTCTGAATTAAAATTCCCTTTGGTACACTCTTAAAATCAATCTATTTTTGTTATGGTTTTCCTGATGAAACAATGTAAGTTTAAAACTTGTTCTTCAAGAGATTCAGAATCTTTTGTTTCAGATGAAGGACTGATGTTTCTTGCCTGCTGATGGTTCTCTTTGTAGTGGTTGATGCCTGAAAGGTCCCTAAACAGAATAATTTAGAAGAACACAGAAGATTCCACAGATAAATCTTTAAGCTAAAAGAACAAACAGGAGTAGAGTTTTTACACAAAAAAAAAAAAAAAAAAATCAAAACCAACCAAACAAGAACCCCCAAACAAACCCCAAAAAATAGGAGGAGGAATATGAGCAGCTTTATATTATTTTGTATTGGCTTCAATCTATCAACTTTAAGACTTTATGTCCCACCAAGTATAATATTTAAGCAGTGCCAGAGGTGCTTAAAATAAGACACACAGACAACTTGTCCACTGTTACAGAAATCCTGTTTCAAAAGCTAAACAATTTTTGTTTTTTTATTATTTTCCTGCTCTATGTTCTGTACCAAAGGGGTTACTGTCTAGCCTCATCTTCCATCAGCAGACACAATTATTACAGTACTTATTCTACTAAAAATAAATTATGTACAAGTAATGTGACAGCCTGGTGACCAAGGCAATGAAATATGAAATGTTTTTAAGAGTGACCATTCACTATAAATTTAACTTCTTGCATATGTTGTATATTAGACCTTGTCAGTAAGTAAATCTTGGTTTTTTTTCAGAAATCTAATCATTGCCGAAGTCCTTCTGAAGCCTTAGAGAAACTTATTAGCATAGAATTTATGGCAATTCTGAATTGCTTACAGAAAGGTATATCACATGTGCAGCTGGGACCCTGTGTGTAGAACAGATGCCCTGACAGTGTCTTTGTACTATAGTGGTGTTGTCTGGCAGCCCTTTAAAACCTAAAAACATCTGGTTAACATTTAATTTTTATACTCAATGACTTCTCTGCATTATATTTCAGTGTAAGATGTTTCATTCATTATTTATTGTACACAGGTGTTAAAAAATCAGCAGGTTCGTGTATGTTACAAAACCCTCACCACAGTATGAGCTGTTTATAGGATGACAATATATTGGCATACATTTTTGGTAAATCACTTCAGGTAGATTATAAAACAGAAGCAGAGTTTTCTCTGTGAATATATGCAAAACTGTTTGAGCAGATTAAATGCTTGAAAACAACTGCATTTTGTACTGGAAAATTGCCATTACTGTTCTACTAGTGCTCTGACAACTTACAGTGTATATCTAAGTTGAGTGCATTGCTAACTCTGACATGCAAAGTCACTCCCTTCCCTTGTCATGGGCATAATATGATGCTAACAACAGCCAACACATGTCAGCCTTTGTTTTGTTAAAAGCAAATGATCAGCATGAAATACTATAATTTCTTAATTTTATATATGAAGAAGAGTGTCTGGTAGCAACTATGAAATTGGGAAAGGATTAATAGAAGCCTGTTGCTTCTCTTCTGTCATCTGCCCCTTACTAGTGAACCACTCCCAACTTGAGACTGGAAAATTGTTGACCTTCAATTTTGTTTTTGCAAGTATGTGAACTACTGTCCATATTCCCATCTACCTAAGCTACTTATTGTTCTTCAAGTAAAATAGTGGAAGCAAAGGACTAACTTTCTTTGAACCGTAGGTTGCAAACTGTGTCAAGTTGTCCACAGAAACTTTTTATTCATGGACTTTTCAACCACTTTAGGAAGAATATGATTTATATTTTTTTTCAGTTACAGAAATCTGCTTTCTAAATTGCTACATTAAAATTCACAGAATGCTTGAGTATAAATTTCAGAGATATATACTTCCAGGGAGATTATATATATGGATATGGATATGGATATGGAAAAATATATATATATCTCCAGCTATATAGATGGGAGAGATTAAACTGAATATAGTGTTTTAAAAAGGCATTTCAAAGTTCTCAGGGAAAACAATGTTTATGCTGGAAGAAAATATAACCTGAAGGTGCAAATCACAAATATCCTTCACTCAGCAGTATAATATGACTGACTAGGGCAGCAGAAGACCAAGATGAGATTTCCTAGTGTCTTCATACAATATTGTAGCCCAGCATGACTTTTATTGTTGAGTCATGAATATACTTCTCAAAAGACAAAGCTTTTTGTCTTTCCTCTCTTGATGAATTGCCCAAAGGGTTTTCTGGTTATTTTATTCTGGCTATAGGAAAATAACAGAAATTTTTTCATCTCTTTCCTAACTTTGATTTTTTGTTTTCTTTTTCCCCATTTCTGAGCTACTTTAAAGTTTTGCCAGGACTCCTTGAATTAGCCCTGTTTCTAATAAATGAATGAATGAATAAATAAATAAATAATATGTGAAGAGAAACAAAAATACAGCTGCTATGCAGAAAAAAAACGTGTCCAGCAACTGAAGTTGTTTTCCTTATGTTGAAGCTTCCTCTGAGGAGCATATAACTCCTTGTTCCATCTGTGCACTGATAAACTAGTGCTTAAATGGCTGCACAATCTTCTTTCAGGAATGAAAGGCATTAAGGAGGGAAAAAGACACTCTAATTCTTCTCCAGAACAAAACAAAACAGACAATGATTCACCCTTTGAAAGAGCTAACTCTGTTCTGAACCTTTTGTACAGAATTGTTTGAAGGTCAAAGTGCTCGAAGTCAAAGCGGTAAAACCCCTGACAGGGGACATTACAGTGGTTGTTAATCACCAAGGGGCATTGTATAGGCAGCCCTTAGAGAAGATAGACACACTCGGTATCTCTCTAACTGTCATGGCATGTACTGTATAAAATTTATTGACCCACAGTTGTTAAAAGTCCTGTGATCCAGAGCCTGTTACCTGTGTGCAGACAGGAACAAAGCAGGGAGACACAGTTATGCCCTTCGGCTGATCTGCTGCAAGGAAGCTGGCAGGAGCAGGAGCTGAGGAGGGACATCTCCCCTGTGCACGTACCTTGTACATCGCTCTGCTGGCTGTGCAGGCTGAGTGCACTGGCTGACACCAGTGCTGGCTGGATCCTGGGCAAGGAAGGAAAACATCTGACAGAGGAGCATGTATTGAAACAGACACACACCAGCAATGTGAACACTGGGATTGTGCATGATCTAGGAATACATTTCCCCAGCTAAACATAGATATTGCTTAATATTAAAATAGAGTTGTGCATAGTTAATTTGGAATATAATAGTTCCAGAATGCTTTAATAGCCATAATGATAGGAACTAAAGAAAACATAGCAGAGGTGCATAATTCACATTAAATCTGAGATACCATTGTTAAAGATTTCCTTGCCACCCCACTGCAACTGTAGGACAGATAATATGAATTTTCTTAAATTTACAACTACTGGTATTTGTACTGGCCTCAGATGCACCAGTTCACACCCCCAGCCCCATAAATTCCATAATTTCTCATCATTCAAAGAAGGAATAGGGAAAGGGAGAGGGAATGGGAAAGGGAAAAGGAAAAGGAGAGGAAAAGGGAAAGGGAAAAGGAAAGGGAAAGCAAAAGGAAAAGGAAAAAAAGAAAGAGAAAAGGAAAGGGTAAAGGAAAGGGAAAGGAAAAGTAAGAAAAGAAAGAAAAAAGGGTTTCTTGTATTTCCCTGAAAGCATTTCAGTGACCTGACGAGAGAGAAACTCAGGTCTGCGTTTTTTTCCTCCAGTCCACTTTCCCTTGCACAATCCCTTGATCTTCGGCCAGCTCTGGAGAGCTGGATCCAGAAAACTGGTGGCTGGTGCCATACTTTGTAAACCTCCCCAGCGAAATGTGCACTGCATCAAGGGCTATGGGAAGTTAAACATCTGTGTAAAATCTTTCTTTGCAAGACCCAGGCCCCTTCTTTACTTTCCTGATTGTGCCTTTTCATAATATGTCGTAGAGTGCAGTGCAGCTCCTGAGACAGAGGTGCCTAATGCCATTGGGTATCCCATCTGGCTTCCCCATCAAGTTCTGGTGGTGCATGAATCCACTTTGAGGATCATGTCAGTGTTCTACAGTGGATGTCTCAGATTCAGCAAGTGATCTCAAATGGCACTAGACATCTTATGATCAGGCAATTCAATCATGCCTCCAAAGTCTGTTTTACACTTAAAAAATCTTATTATGGATGAAAGGGAACATGAATTTTATGTGGAGCCTAGTACTTACCACAACCCTAAGGTCTTGACAATTAAGTCAAAAAGCAATGAGCATTTTCTATTAACTCAGCTACAGTGCTTCTAACATTCACAGGCCAAATGAATACCTCATTAATAATATCTTTAAAATTCTGTAGGAATGCATTTGCTTTCTAGTATCTACCCCTTTTATTCAGTGGTACGCTTATCTTTGGGGGTGTCCCTCTGGGTCCACAGTGCCCATCAACCAACTTGGAAGGGAAGGTAGTATGTCAGCTTGTTAGTACCATCCTGAGGGCTTCACTTCGAGGAGTGTGGCATTCATGGTGGGGTTTTCTTTGTCTTCAGTCTTGGATCTGGCCAGGGCTTTTATTTCATGTTTTCTTAAGGCAGTCTGCTCATTTGTACTTTTTTCTCCACTGGATCCCAGCTACAGCTTCACAATCCTCATCCCTTAGCTGCTAAAGACACACCACAACCTCCCACAGCCCCAGTTATCACAAAAGTTGTTTTGCTTGTTATGCAGGGACTGTGCAGGTTTGCTAGACCTTAACCACATTAGGTATGCACAGAGATAAGCTTAAACAAGGTAGGTAACAGCCTTCTGACAGACAGACAATTGCTATCGCAGCTGGAAACAAGCTGAAATGAACTTCGGCCAAGACTAGTCCAGGCAAGTTCTGAGGCCAGCGCTGGTGAGCTAATACACAGCATGTGGCCTTTACTGAAATCAGAAACAATCATATTTGCTGAGATGCTACAGCAGCTAGCACCCAAGTTTTGATCCGCTTTCAGTTCGTCAGATTTCTGCACGGCATTTAAAGTTATCCAACAGCTTTTGCTGCTGTAAAGAGCAATGGCAGATGGAGAAACAGATGTAAAAGTGGTCGAAGGCAGAAACAAATCAGGAGTTAAATGAAGGGAGAAGAACATTAAAGGGGCTTTTGACACTTACAAAGCATAAGAAAAGCTCAGGTGTTTAGCCAGTTTAGTCCCAGTGTCCTGTGGGTACATGTTTATTAGACTTCAAAAATAAATGCCTCTGGAAGTTTGGAACAAACCTACTGCATATATGTTTTAAAGAAAAAAAAAGCTTATTTTCCTCTGTACTGGAGGACTGTAACCCTTGTTCATGGCCCTGTTCTGTTTTCCCAAATTAGAACCCCAAAGGAACTAAAATCGTAAACCCACACAGTGAACAGCAGATGTGAACAAAAAGCAGGTATGGGAACCCAGCCAGTTATCTTCATCTCAAGAATTAGTCTGTTGTGGATCTGTGAGTTTTTTGAAAATAAATAAGTGAGACCGGAGTATTTGGAAGGAGACATCACAATCTACTGAAGTTACTTTGTCATTAAATTCATTAAAATCTTGTCATTAAAATCTGTCACTTAAGTCTGACATTAAATTAATGATAATGGATACCACTTCTGTTCAGTCTTCCTCTGTTCTAGGAATGTTCTCTTTTCTGTCTTAGAACCAGTTAAATTGCCTACCCTTCTGCTATTAAATATACACACAGAGGTCCTAAGGTATACCCTACAGTAGCTGCAAGTTCATATACTAATACTTCACCAGTGTTAGCCAATGACTTCTCATGCAACTGAATTCAAGCAATGAATCTGAGACAAACAGAAATTAATTTAAAAAATTCCATTTACTAGGAGGTTATCTCTGGCATATTTACAGAGAAAAGATAAAATATTAAAAAATACCGATTAAATTCAAATGAAATCATGCCATTGTCTTCATGGACACAGACTGCACTAAAGATGATAGGAGCCACACAAAATTATGGAAGAGCCTAATTAAAGTCTTGGACAATGTTGTATAATTTCAAAGAAAAATGCGAGGTCAGAAAGATCCTGGAAATAAACTTCTAAGTCATTTTTGTGGCTCGTTTCCATGAGTGCTAGATGCATTTTTTTCCCCTTCAAAATTTGTGAATGAATTTGTTTTTCCCCAAAATTCTTCTGCAGATGTGCTGGCAAATAAATGTTTCATTGGAGCTGGTTTACCTGCAAACTAAAATACCTCTATTGGCAGAGGAAGACTATTTATGGTAGACCACCATATAAAACACCATAGCTGGTATTTTCTCTATGTAGTTTACCATACAGCTATTTTCAACGGAATTGCATTTTTAGAATAGATTTTAATACTAAAAATATTTAGTGAATCTTATTTTCTGGGAGGATAAACTAAACCCAAAATCTTAACATGACTTAGACATCCTGAAGGAGCCCTTCAAAGAGTGTGTAACTAAACAGATGTGACACAAGTCAGTCAGAGATAGACAATACTTCCTGACAGCCCAGATTGTCATTAAAGTCTTTTCCAAGGCCTTTCCAGTTATTATTAAAAGTCTGTCTCACAAACTATATAATTAAAAAGCGCCATTTTTATAAGAAGACAGTAATTATGTTAATACTTTACATAAACATTTCTCAACATTAATTGTGAAGAAATGCGTAAACCAAGGTACAGTACATGTAAAAGGAATCTCGGGTCCCAGAAGATTATAAGTTTCTCATAAACAAAGCTTTTTTTTTTTCGGTGCTTTCTTCAGCCAAAACCCTTGTGGAAACTTGGGCTAGCTTGTGGAGGTTTTTTTATGATTTCTACGTTGAATTTGTGATGATCTCTGATTTTTTGTTTGGTTTTTTTTTTTTTTTGTACAAAAAAATCATGGGAAGTTTAATTGTAATGAGAACTGTGGAGCTGATCAAAACTTTTTACATCAAAGTCAGTGAAAAAGGAAAACAGAACATGGGGAACATATGCGAAGAAAAGGAATTATTTGTAGAGCCATCTGAAACAGCTATGCTACTGGAACTGCCTAATCACATTTTTAAGTGGACTCAGTTTTCTAAATACCTAATCCTTGTAAAAATACACCTCCCCACTCTTTCTTATGAAAGGTATGATTTGAGGAAATTTGAGAAAGCAGTGTGAGAGCAAAAATGCCTCCACAATAGAAAATTTCTTGGTTTTCTCCCACCGATTTCCTCATCCTGTTAAAATTACTCCCACAGCTACTTCGAAACCTGTATTTTAGTTCCTTCAGGAAGCCCTTTATTTCAGTCTTCTGACACTCTTATTACCACATACCTGCAGCCCAGGTGCCACCTTCGTGGTTGGGAATAGGGCAAGATTCTACTTGAAGTGTGAGAACAGGGCTTGGGATGCAATAGGAGACTGTTGATGGACACTGGAAAAGGGAGGAAAATTGTTTTTAATACAACGTGAAATTAAAAGGAGTGGGTTGTAACTTTTCCAACAAATGGATATGTTTTTTGTCAATTTTGAAGTATTTTCTCAAATTCTTATATGGGGAAATGTATGTTTTACTGTTTAAAGATTTCTGAATTTTTCAGGCAATTTTACTTTTGTCCATGCCACAATATCTGACTTAGCATGTTCAACAATGTTCTGAGCACATTAGGGCTAAAACAGCAAAACAAAGGACGTCTTTTATCTCCCACTTACCTATACAGACACACCTCAGTCAACGTTAAGGTAACTGAGCCTTTCAGGATGCAATTAAATAAAATGCAAACACAGCTGATAGACCAAAGCCTAGAGGGACAGGATTCTGTGTTCAGTAATAGCAAGCAGATGGAAAATCCCTGACTTACTTTTGGAAACTATCTCAAAATATATGGAAGCAAGCTCTGGTCTTGATTACGTATGTCCAACTCCCAGAATCACAATTCTATATGCATGTCTGAATATATTAGGACAGAACCAGACTTTGTTATACTCAGCTAGCAAAATTGCAACATTTTTCTTGAAGTGAAACTGAGATTGATCTTTTGCCTTAAATTAGTCTGTTGGTTTTATGAAGAAATTTTGAGAGAAAGAAAATCAGATGGTAATTTGGACAAAGCCTTGGGTGATATGGTTTATTGTGAGGTGTCCCT